AAGGTATGACGCTAAGTTGTAGAGAACTTCGCTAAGGAATAATAAAACGAACTTCGTGAAAAGAACTTGGCTAAAGAATAATAAAACGAACTTTGTATTTTCTTAATGTTATGGGATTCTGAGGGTGGGTGGGTGTTCTATCAAAGCCTTGAATACCGCTATACTTAAAAACTGCTCGATCCGGAGCTGCTGAACCTTAAACCCTAAACCCTAAACCTTAAACCCTAAACCCTAAACCCTACGTCACGGCTCTGTGCCTCGCTACAGAGGTCTTGGCCCTGGCGTCTGGTTTCGGGCTAAGCCGAAACTGGCAACTCGGCAAAGGCCCAAAAGGCGCAGGCACTGCCCTTCCCAGGGCTTTTAGGGTCTTTCTTTTTAGAGCCTCAAACCCTATAAGCCCTACAAACCCTATGAGCCCTATAAGCCCTATAAGCCCTATAAGCCCTATAAACCCTATTCGCATCTCAGGTACCAGCGGCTTCTGCTGAAGCATCCTTGCACGGCAGCTCGACCTGCAGGTCTCTGAGCCCCAAGCCCTGAAACCGTAGCCCCTATCCCTGAGAGGTTCCGTAATATGAAGGCCGCAAAGGAAGCCCTGGCTGCGATTTGGGCTGTGAGCCTTCCCTGGGGCCTCTTTCGCCGGAGAATCACGGGGAAGTCACAGGAAGATTTCAGGGAATCACAGTGCTTCCCCCCAGCTGTCACACAGAAACATCACAAAAAATCCTCACGCCCCGAATCACAGCTAGATCTCTTCAAACACTTTCCAGAGCTTTCCATGCCCAGGGCAGTCAGAAGTCTCAAAGCCCTGAGGCTGCAGAGATGTTCCTGGCCGACCTGCAGCGGCAAGATGTGCCTGTTGTTTCTTGGCAGCCTTCCGGTTTGCAGCATGCGCATCCGGTCGCTGACGTGTTTCTGGAGGTCTGTGGTTTGACATCAGGAACTTTTCTACAGCGCGGCACAGCTGATGATGTGCTGGACAAGTTGATGGCAGGCGAGGGCCGCACTAAGAGTGGCCAGCGAACATGAGACGTTTGTTCTCCGAGGCTCGGGTGAGGAGCCTACCACGTGGCTTGTGCTGGACTCGATGAACCTTGGCTGCAACAGACGGAGTGGCCCGAGTGGAGTCGGAGGCGGATGTGGCTTACTGTTACACAGCATACTATACAGTGTATGTATGTATGCATGCATGCATGCATGCATGCATGCATGCATGCATGCATGTATGTATGTATGTAGGTATGTATATGGTAAATTATTGCATATTGGCTTTTCTTGTATTGCATGATTGAGATGACAT